ACAAAACAATAACATAACAACTCTTGAGCAACATGAAAACAACTGTTGAGCAACATGAAAACAACTGCCTAGCTATGATTCAGATAGCACTTATTTCAAGCAAAATCCACCATTAAAAAGCACTTCAACAATAGAATTCAGAAAGCATAAGTGTTATCTGTACTACCAAAAAAGAATTTTAAAATAAAAGGTCAAACTGAATTGTAACAAAAAATAAGTAAAATCCCAAATCAAAAATAAATAATAAATAAGGAAATAAAAAGAAATAGAGGAACACCAAGGAAACAAGTAATGAGTTTTATCATGATTCAAAAAAAAAAAAAAAAAAAAAAAAAAAAAAAAAATCAAATTGAATTTCAACATACAAAACCAACCCACCTTTTGAATTCAAATTGAATTTCACAAAAGGAAACGATGGTACGATTGGGTTCTGGAAGGCGTCGTCGGGGGCCGTAGGTAGCGATTGAAAGTGACTAAGAGCAGACGACGGCGACCTTCGACTGGTCCATACAACTCCGACATCGAGCGGGTTCGACTCGAATTCCAACGACCGACTCAAAACTCTCTCCGACAAATCAGAAAATCAAACGCATCGACAACTCTTGAAATTAAAAAGGGGTAGATGGTTATGAGAAAGAAGGATAGATATATGGAGGAGGATGAACCGCGATTATTAAAAAATAAAAAAGTCATATTTTTTAAAACCTAAAAGAGTCCACAAAAGGAGTATAATTGGAAATAGAAAAGTTAGGTGTATCTAAATAATAAGAGGGAGTAATTATATAACTGAAAATATATGGCTAAAGTACACTATTACGAATCTTGGACTCTGAAATAAAAATTTTACGAGAGAAAGATTTCAATACCAAATCAAGTGGCATGATTGTGTTTTTATCCCCCTAATACGATACTTAAATTAAAAAAAGGCAACTAACGAAAGTGATTTAATTCTTCCGCAAATGAATATAACTGATATTCTTGACAAATTTAATAAAAAAAAAAAAAAAAACTTACCAAATAGAAACGGCCGGATCTCTTGTGATGCCTGGGAAAATTCATTTGTTGATTTTATTAAGAAAAAATGTTTAATTAGAATACAGAAGTAGAAAATTCAGTAAAATTGTGTTAATATTTCACTAATGTAAATTACAAGATGCAAAATTTTGTTTGCTTTGTTTATATAGATCTATATTTAATGTTGGGTTTTATAAACCAAATTTTTTACTATAAATTTATGTCTAATTTATTTTTAATTTATTATTAGTTTATCTTATAAATCATATTTTCTACTATAAATTGTATCTAATTTATTTTTAGTTTATTATAGGTTTATGAACCATTACAAGAATATAAACTGTAAATTTAAATTTATATATAGTTTATTTTCAGTTTATTATACTAGGAAAATTTATATATAGTATATTTTTTAGTTTATTATAGTTATAAAATTACAAGAAACTGTAAATTTAAATTTATATATAGCTTATTTTTAGTTTATTATACAAGGAAAATTTACATATAGTATATTTTTAGTTTATTATAGTTAAAATTAATACTCTTATACACACAAAGCCTTTTTTATTTCCCTTAAGTCTCCCAAAACCTTTTTTATTTGAAAATCACGCTCATGATCTTTTGTGAATTCTTTTAGATTACTTTCAGTTTGTCTTAAATTTATTGCATTGTCTCTATACTTTATTAAAAATTAATTTTCAGTTTATCTTATGTTTATTATCTAATTTTTACTAATTTGTAAAAAATTAAATAGACAAAAAAAAACTTAATATAAATCATAGATAAAACAAAAAATACAATCAATAACTAAAAAAATCAACTCAAGATAGACATCAAGTGCAAAAAAAAAAAAAGGGAATATAAACCATAGATAAGACAAAAACATACAATCAATAAACATCAAATTAATATTCTTATACACACAAACATGTAAATTTATATATGGTTTATTTTCAGTTTATTATATAAGAATGCATACTCTAAATTTATGTATAGTTTACAATTACAATCTATCAAATTTGTTCTTCAAGCATATGAATATCCTGTTCTCAATCTCATCATCAAATTTCCAAATATTATTATCAACAACACACAAGCCAAAGAAGAAGAAGAATAATAATATAAACTGATTTGTACAAAGCTCTAAATTCCTTAATATTACAAACTCCAAAATCCCAAATATTTAACCACATTGTACGAAATCTCACACTATGACCTTAGCAACATCAAACAAGGTGAGATAAATTAATCAAGTGAGAAACAAAGAATATTCCTTAATTAATAAAAAACACATCTGTTTAATTGCAATTGATAATTAAATCAAATGAGAAATGAACAAGGGTGCAATTGTACAGACATTTTATCAGTAGGCATATGAGATAACAAGGGAATAAAATTTTAGTAACCCATTGATTAATTTGAAGCGTCAGGTGCAGAGGTGGTGGCGGATGGCCTCCTCAACCTCCGGAGCCGCTCGGTCCACTGGTCGTCCGACAACTGAGCCTCCCAGTCGGGTGCGATGGCGCTGAACGAGATACCACGCACGGCGTTCTCTGCCGTCAAAGGTGCGACGACGCTGAACGAGAGTGCATTCGATTGCCATCTCCGACTCGCTAGCCGCCGCGGCCATCACAGTGCCGTCTTCATCTTCATTATCGCTCAGATCCAGAGATGATAAGCTGTTGGGGAGGCAAGGCAGTGGAAATGGTGAATCTGGTCCTGATCGGAGTATTCTCTCAGATCGAGAGATTGACGGGAAAGAAAGAGATACAAGGGAATTAATTTGGGGAGTTAATTTGGGAGAAGATAAATTTGATATTTTGTCTTGAAATTTTCTGTTGTATGGAAAAGAAAGATAGAAGGAAAAAGAAAAACCAATTTACACATTTATGGCATTTAAAACTTTAGATCGTCTTTATGTCCTCATAAAAGAATATGGGTTCGTCTAGGAGGTAATTATCTCAAAATATATTGCTTTTAGTTCATTAGGCATATTCAGCCCATTTGTGTTGAAAATTTATAGACCAATTGTTTATAACATTGGACTTAATTTAATTTTAATTTTTGTAATTCATTATAAATACAAATATATTAATATAGATATTTTAAATTTAGATTGATAATTTAATTTAATTACATGGATATTGACCAATATATGTGCTACTAAGAAAATTTAATTGTACAATAGTAAACATAACAAAAAGGACATGTTTGTGCATATTGTTCGTACATTTATCCTTTTTTTTTTTGTTTTCATTACAAAGATATTCTAAAATATTATATTTACATATATATGATAACCTCTATATATTTTTTTAGTACCTATATCATTAACATTCATTTTTTACAAGATGTTGGATATCATCCGCCGTTAGAGGAAAATCTTTTATTCCTTAAGAAAATCACAATCATATGGGCAAGATTTCATATCAATATCAAAGTTTATTGCATACTCCTCAAAGTAAACAAATAAATTAATTATTTTTTTTTATGAATTTAATATGAAAAATGATTGGTAGTTTAAAAGGTTTATATGTTTTATATTATAGATCAATTTCACGCAACAAACAGTTCATGTACAACAGGTTTGTTGCATACTCCTCAAAGTCTACCATTATCAGATATCTCAAATGGTATAGTATGGATCGACACCTTATATTTGACTTAAATCAACTATTGCTTTACATATATTTATTTAGTTTTTGTTTGTAACAGTGTTTGCAGCAGAATATGCTTCTACAACAACAAATAAAAAAAACCAACAATATTGAATCAAGTAAGCAATAGTAATTAAATATTTTTTCCAATTTAAGTATTTCTATTTTAGGCAATAATTAATTAAATGTCATGAATGATTGTATTTATTTTTTTAAGAAAGCACGATAAAAGAGAGTCAAAGTATGGTCATTGATCTTACAAGTGATGACGATGGTGTATTTATGGTTCGTTCTAACAGGAGAACCAAGCAATCAGAAGGTAAGAAAATATCTAATGTGATGGTAAGTAATTATTTAAGTATTATATTATCTTACACCGTTGACATGCATTTTTTTGAGTAGGGTTTAGTAACTTTTTTAAACATTATTGAAAAGTGTCGGCCAATTATTTGAAATTCAAATAAAAAAATTAACATAATTAATTAATATACAAAATCATTTTGGTCAAATATTGCGGCTATTATCTTTATTAGTTGCATGATTTGAATTTGGTATATAATATATTGACAAAAAATACAAAAATTAAAAATTAAATAAATAATTATTCATAATTTATGGGTCAATATTAACTTAGGCGTAAATAAAATATTTAATTATTTATAGCTTAATAGATTACTCACCTACTTATATTTTTTTATTTGAATAGTTTATACAAAAATGATTTCATTTTAATTAATGAAACAATATAAGTTTATATTTATACTTATTATTCACATAGGTTTCTAAATATATGATAAAATTTTATCAAAATAATTATTTTATGAAATTACATTATAGTCTAATCGAATTTTTGAAAAAAATTTGTGAAATGACACTTATTTTGAAATGAATATAATTTTAATTTATCATCAATTATATGTACCGCACGGGTTTTGTACAAATTTTAAATAGACATTTTTATAAAATTTACATAATTTAAATTTTATATAATATTTTTAATAAATTAATATATATAAATTGTATTACATATTGATTTTATATATTTAATTTATAAATATTATTTAATAAAAAATTTAATTTATAAATATTAATGAATATCTCTTACCCGTGCATCGCACGGGATTCGTACTAGTAAGGAAGAAACAAAAGAGGTATTCAGTAACCAATAGCTACAAAGTGACATGAGATACTGACAAAACGAGTGTGCGGTTGGGAGTTCACAAAGAGCACCGCCATACCATCTAATTAGCGACCGATGCATTCCCTACCTTTAGTTGTCTTCACTGAAATAGATAAACCTAGCACAAGTGCGATGATATGCTTCACATGTCAAGTCATGTCGGTGCCGAAAGAAAGAAAAGACAATTCCTGAGGAATGAAAACCGAGCAACGCCGGGTTTCTAGGACAAACTCCAAAGACTTTTCGAGTCTTCCACTAAGTTGAACTTGAGGGGCTGGTATTTGTAAAAACGGGCCGACCTTATTCTGTACGTGTTGTTTCTTTTTCAGCTCCTTTTGAGCTTTTTTCAGCATATCCTGTTTATCCTCTCTGTATCTGGCAATATCACACTTGAACACTTGTATATCCATGCGCGGGGGTCGTTTGGACCGTTTGTTTAGAGCTGTCTGAACACGGCAAAATACGACTTCCCGGCCACAACCTGAGGGCTGGACTGTAGCAAGCGCCAATTGAAGTTCATAATCATCATGACTATACAATGGCATTGGTGGGAATTGACAACAGATGGGCACTATGGGCACTGATATCGGGATATCCACATCGAAAACATAGTCATGGGAGAAGGACAACTCTCCTTCAATAGCTGAAAGGCAGGGATAACCGAAATAACTGGGAATCTTACAAGCAGGAACTAAGCAGTCTTGCCACCCTCCTCCATACGATTCCAAATCGAGCTCAAACATCCCGTTTTCGGTGGTGACCACCAACACAGACTCGCACCTGAAAATAAAAGATTTAATGGTAACAGAGTAGAGACAAGAGCTCTTTCGACCTTTATCCCACCTCTCATATAACTGAGGGAGCTGTTTCCATTCATCAGTGGCGGGATCATACAACTCGAAATCATTTGGACGGTCAACACCAGCATCCGGATGAAATAGGATGTGACTGGAAAGTACTAGGATTTTCCCGCCAGGGGTTGCAGATGCGCTCGGAAACCTTTCCGGCTGAAGCGATCGTCATTGATATCCCAACTTTCCGGCTGGGTTGCCGATAATCGCATCCCGGAAGGATCGGGTGGTGGCGGGGGCCAAGGCCGGTGAGGAGGAGCCCGTCGGGGGTTGTCCGGTGGCTCCGATGGTGCCCAACGGGGGCTGACCAGATCTAGCGGTGTGTGGAGTCGGGCCTGAGGTGCCGGCCGTCAGAATGGTGGAGCCCGACGCAACGGTGGATCCGCGTTTTAGCATGCCGGGCGGCAATCCGGTGGCTTGGTGGTGGTGGCCGCCGGCGNTGGGCCTGGGAGGTGGCCCAAGAAGGGAAAGAGGCTGGTGAGAGGAAGAGGCTTTAGAGGAGGGATGTTGGGCCAAATGGTTGGGAGGCCCAAATAAATGAGGTAGGCCTAGTGAGGGGGCTGATTTGGGTCTAGGTATATGCCCAATAGGATGTCCATCGTCAGAAGCCATGCGCAGCTGCGGGTTAGGGTTCCCATGGGTTCCGTCACCTGGAGCAAGGGTGTAGGTCGGGGAGAATGCTTTGACCGGCGGGAGGGGGTCCGAGAAAATTGCCGGTGGCAAAGATCCGAAAGTAACCGGGCATCTTGCGACAGATCCCAGAGGTGCCGTAAAAGGTCCATGGATGGCTGAGGCGTTTCTGGCGGGAGCTTGGTCGACGGCTGAGAGGCTCAAGGCGCCGGAGGTTTGAGCTGCGACGGCGGCGGGGCTGCTCCGAGGGTCGGCCGTAGGTGCAGAGATTTCCCCTTCTTCCAAGGAGGAGATTGTGGATTTTCCTACCAAAAAGTTCAAAACATGATGATGAAAGGCGGGCTGCGAGAAAAGGTTGAGCAGGTTCGGTAGTGAGACGGTGGTCGGAACTCGGTTGGTGGGTGGGGGTGACGGAGATGATGGTACCGGCAATGGAAGTGGGGGGGAGCCATGTCTGTTGCTGGGGAAAAGAAAGGACGGGCCCGGAGGCCGTGGCGGGCCGCCGCCGACGGCGGCCGACGAGTGTAGCTAGGCGAAGGTGGTGGCCAAAGGGAAAAGGAGGAGGAGGAGGTAGGTGAGGAAAGATAAGGTTAGGTCTAGAGAGAGGAACTTATCTGGTTCTCTATTGACAGAATGTAATGTAATTTCATCTTAAAGAGTGTAAAGAGTCCAACTCATAAGAAATTCTTATTTCCAGTCCAAAAACGGAGTTAGGCTACATACCTTGGAAGTTAATATTTGCATGTCTCCAAGTTTTTGGGGCTCTCGGGCTGAGCTCAAGCTGCTCGTCTGGCCCATGAGAACTCCAGCTAAGGTTTTGAACATAATTTTGGTAAGGATCCGATTTATACATCCTATTGGTTGGTAGTTGTCATAAAATCTAAAACCGGGACTGAAAATGTTACGAGAATACAAATGTCCAATTAATCCATCACAGCAAAGCAATGTTACGAACTCAGCTGAATTACAAATATCCAAATATCCAACACCAAAACATAATGTTACAAACCCTACTAAAATACAAATATCCAAATTCATCACAATATTGGTAGAAGCTCAACTAATATCCAAATCCACCACAATGCATAATGGTTCAAGATCCTCAAACAAAGCACTGTAATAAGCCAAAAGCAGCAGCTGCTTCTTGGAATTCTATGAGATCCATGATGAAAGCTTTTGAGATCATTAGATCAACATCCAAGTCGGGCGGACCCTATATCAGATGAGGTGGTAAAACTAAGTACAAATACGTAATCGTACTTTAAACTTCAAAATAATAACTAATAATAAATTAAATAATTCAATACCTGCTGCAATTGTGTCGCTAAATCGCAACAACAATGGAGCCGTCCGAAAAAATCTTTTGCGTACTTCTTTTGTTCCCTTTTAAGTGATGAAACAATGGGCTCAAAATTATCAAAGTTCTCGTTTTGGAACTTATTTTGGTACCAACGAATGCCCCACTTTTTACGCTCTTTGTTTATGTTGATAATGGCTTGTGCATATTTTTTATATTCAGTGCTCACTACACATTAAAATAAAGTTACAAATCAAATAATTCTTATAAATGAAACTAGTAGTTTTGAATGTATCAAAATTATGTAGAAGTTTTCATTAGTTCGAGAAGATGATTAATATCTTCGGGGATCACATGACAATGACGAAATAGCGGATGAAAGCATTTGAAAATCACTTTGCTTTGACTCTTTAGTAGCCTCCATAAAAGTCAACCTCCAAAACTACATCATTATGCACCAACAAGTTCTCCTTAAACGAAAACTCAACTAACAGACCTCATTGGCGTTTACCTCCTTAAACGAGAACTCAACTAACAGACCTCATTGGCATGTAGGTAAACGATGAATTCGATCATGATTTCGGGGAAGGGGCAGCACATATTCATAAGCTATTGGGTTTTGCATATCATCAAAGCCCTGATATCAATGGGTTGGGGTTGACCTTTTAATATATGTTATATAGTCAGTGAGGACTATGAACCAAAATACCTTCCATATCGTCTACAAACATGCAGCCTAAATAGTTTTTATGTGAAATTTTGTTCGCAAAGTCACGTAGTATCGGATTGTTGTCATATCGGCCGAAGTAGTATCGATAGTAGCAGATAACCCAGTGAGCGATCCTCCAGTTTTCCCAATCTATTTTTGAAGAGAATCCATTTGTAAATAAACAAAATTAAAAAATATATGTAAAATAAATAAACCTCCAATGCAGTCATAGACAATACATTATTGAATTTTAAATAAATTTTGCGAATAATGCGTGTCTCCCACTAGCAATATACCAAAACTAAAAGCATTTCTTAATTTCAGCATTTTTTAATATATGAAATTCAATATATTCACAAGTTGACATGAAACGTATATTTGTCACGGAGTGCGCGAGTTATAGTAAGAACAATAATAAGAATTGTAAAACGCGGAAGCAAATAACCGAAGATTTTCAAACTCTTCAGGGAAGCGTCCCACTTCCCCTCAGAGCTCTTTCATTGATAGATCACTCGTACACATAGTTTGGACTTACAAAGATTCGAACTCCCTTCAAATCTAGCCAACACTACTTGATCCTATCAACTAATCCTCCGGCCACGTCCCGTGGACTTATAAACCTACACTTACTCCCTAAGTGTGTAAACCGTAAAATAGTTTTGATGGAATGTATAAAGAACTAAACAAAAGCAGCTTCAGTTCTAGAGTTTGTAAGAACTCGTAAACTGAACTGGATACAAAACCAAAATGGAACAGCAAGCAAAACGAAGCTTGAGTGGCTCTTCAATTATTTTCTCTGAAAAAAACTCAACCGCCGCCATCAGCTTCTTCCAGGGTATATATATCTTCTCCTTAGGGTTGGAGTCTTCTACAAGGCATAGAACTTCCCAAGATTTCCTTCCAAGATAATAGCATATCTATGGCAAGTAAATCTTTTATTCTCTCTCCTCGATCTCTTCTCCAAGCATGTCTCTTTCCTCCTTCTTTATCTCACCACACGTAATTTCCTAGCATATCAAAACGGTAATAAGATCAACATGAACTTATATAAGGAAAATAAAACAATATTACATAAGGAAATATAATATATAAAGATCTTCCCTTTTATTCTGTGGTTCCAGGTGCTTGTTCGAACTAATCGAACTAATGCCAAAATAAAATATCTTTCAATCTCCCCCTTTGGCATCTAGTTCGAAAACATCAGACGTGAAAGTCTCCTACAGCAATAAAAACAACAAGCAACCACAGATAAACTCAAGCAACGATTAGACCAACACATCTCAAGATCTCCTTAAAGTAGTTCTCCCCCTTAGTTCCTGCAGTCATCAAAATTCAATAGAAAGCTGCTAAATTCATTTCAAACATAGACAGTAAGAACACCAAAACAACTGCATTAATTCCCATCAAACAAACTTAGTAACAAACAGCAAACAACCAGCAGCAAATAACAAGTTTTCTTACAATCCTCAAAACACACAAGGAAATAAAAACTAACTACCCCAAGCACTACTCCTCATCTTCAATTTTCTCAGTATCACCATCAGATTCTTCAGCATCCTTCTCACTGCTCTTACTCTTGCTCTTCTCCCCCTTTTTCGAACTACGGGATGCCGAAGGGCCTGTCCCCAAAGTCCGAGTTGATCCTTTGACAGCTTGAAGCACCTGCCGAAGATAGGCTTGCTGAGCAGCAACCTTCTTGGCTAAATCATCCCATTCGCCAAGTTGTTGAGCCACAAACTCACCCCAGTTCTTAGGAACCAAGAAAGGAGCGAGTTCCTTTGCAGACTTGGAAATTCCTTTCTCGTTCAGAGTGCGAGCACTAACAGAGAGTGCTTTCCGGGGATTCTCAAGAGAGTCTTGGAAGCGAAGGTTAATCGAAAAATTATGAGCCGATAGAAAGGACCAAATAAGGCAGGGAAAGGGAAGAGTTTTACGAGACTCATTGTTGGCAACAAAGGATTGAAGGATTTGAAAAACAAGGTCCCCAAAGCTGAAAACTTTCCCAATCATAACCCAATAAATGACTTTACATTGCAGCTCAGTAAGAAGGGTTTTGTTTGAAGTAGGGGTCCAGTTGCCAGCACCAATCTTGTGCAACAAATTAGCAACCAAGCAAAGAGAGTTCACAGACAGGTTTGAACCAGGCCAAGTATCCAACTGACCAGAGGTGAGAACTCTGGTCATTTCATCAGAATCGAGATCAACAAGGGAAGAACTATCAAGATCAGAGGGCAAACCAAGATGGGCATTAATCAAAGCGGGAGACACATCAATCACACGGTTGCGAAGAAAAAGTTTATAATAACGAGGGCTAGCAGGATCAAACACAGCAGGAGTGAGGTTAGCATAGAATTCCTTAACAGCTTGGCCACAAAAGGGCTTAACATCAGACACGGTCTTCGAAAGACCCACTTGCTCAATCAGACGAAGAACACCGAGTTCAGCAAACTTACCATCAGTCACAGGATGTTCCGACCAGAACTCATAAGACCCAAAATTAACAAAGCGTTCGTGCGCTGCTTCTGTATAGAACCGATTGGTGAAGGTATTCTCCAGATCATACGCATCATCTTCAGGTTCAGGAGGGACAAGGGGCTCGTCAATGGCCTTCCCACGTCGACGGGTGGAACGACGAACTGGAACCTTCGAAGGTGGTGAGGGCTGGTCAGAATGGACTTCAACAGTGGTAGCAGCCGTATCATCTTTTTCCCTTTCGGCAGTAGTCGTCTTGGTGACCGACTTAGTTGCAGAAGTGGGAACGGCAGAAGACTCCCCCTGAGTCGAGACGGCGAGGGAATCAACACGTCCAGAAAGTTCAGGAACTCCAGTGGCAAGAGGTGAAACTTCAAGATTCTTGCGAACATTGTCAGATTTAGACTGAGAGCCAGATGAAGAAGAGGCTAGTGAAGCCGATTTCGACTGCGAGGATTCAGGAGTCGGTTCTTTCGCTGGTGGCGAAGGTTCACGAGCAGATCCAGTGGACAAGGAGAGTCGACGACGCTTAAGTCGCTTCTCTTTTTGCTTCTGAAGTCGGCGCTTCGCTTTGTCTTTGCCGCCAGCCATGGGAGAAGATGGACGATTGAGAGAAAGGGATTTAGGGTTTCAATCGGGATGGGTGAGCAAAAGTGAGAGAGAGATAAGAAGGAACCAATAAAGTGGAATAAAATAAGGAGAACGTGTGTAAGATCGGTTAAGAGACGTTGGATCTAAGATAACCGCAAAAGGTAGGTTCCGAAAATCAAGGTGGTAAGGAGAGCGGTTTTAGGAGAGAGAGAGAGAGAGAGAGAGAGAGAGAGGGAAAATTCAAAAATGGTTAGTGTAATTAATTCCTCCAATAATCGAAATTCAAACATACCATAACTTCTCACATCAATAACGGCTCGCAGTATTTTGAAATTTAGGAAAGAAATCAGATTTTATCCATGAATACGTCCTGCACAAGCTCTTGGAACACGTACAAAAAGGAAATCATATGCAAACATGCCTAATTATGAAAAAGGAATAAAAATCGCACACAAAATTCACTAAAATCATAAGATCTTTTCTTTTCCAACTTAGACAAGAATGAAGGCAACAATCAGAGACCAACTTTGAGATTCAAATCTTTCGAGGAACATAGATTAAACGGATATATGTATATACACAAAGTAGTGCGAACCACGACTTCCAATATATATTTTTTTTTTCGAAAGAACACATGCGTTATTATTTATAGTGCATTTCACTTAGTAACAATCACTGCAATAGTGAAAGTCGACCCCATTACTTTGCACTACAATTTTCAGCAAGGATCCCAAATTTTTTTTTTTTTTTTTTTTT